GCACTTCTCAGGGCGGGGACACCTGCGTCCTGCCGTGCCCTCTTCTTGCTGACCTCCGGAACCGAACCTGTGCGTGCAGGCCACTCAGGGCCCTGCAGGAGCCCTAACTCCTCTCGGCTGCTTCTGGTGTCTCTGGGGGGCGGTGTCTTCTGAGAACGGGCACATCTGGGTGGGGCCAGTGACTTTGGGCTGGAGCCTGTACTGGTTGAGTGGCATGTGGAGGAGAGGGCTGAGAAGAGTCTGGCAGGGGATGGTGGTGTGTGTCTCTCTCTTTCTCTTTCTCGGGGGGCGGGGACAGAGAGACCAAGGTCCACAGGTTGCCCCGAGAATCTCGGACTCCCCACCACATCTGGATGTGCATCAGCCTGGTGAGCAACGCAGTCCCCTCCCCGGCTGAAGAGCCATTCCGGCACTGGGTGGGCGATGTGAGGGCCAGGGGGCAGGGGCAGGGCGTAGTGCTGCACTGAGAACAAAAGAGCGCATTCTCCCACCTCGGGTGTAAAACGTGTTTGCAAAAGAGAAGCATATCACGCTCTACTAACAACGATGGGGGCCCAAGCCCCCTGGTTACGGAGGGTCACGAAAGGGCCTCTCTGAAAGCCAGACCCCTGTGTAACCACAGGCATCCGTCACTGCCGGAGGTTCTTGGCACAGTGAAAGAGGAAACGGTAGTCTGGGGGCAGTGCCCTCTCTTGGCTTCTGGTTGATACCAGTTTGAAAAAGACCAGATTGCTTCTTGCTTGTCTACAACACCAAACCCACTACCAGCAAGTCGGCTCTGCCTCACGGCCACCCTGGAGGGCAGGGCAGGACTGCCCCGCGGGTTTCCCAGACTGTAACTCTGTATCTCCCTTCTTGACCGCACTGTAACTCTTGACAGGAGTAGAAATCCAGGTCTTCTCCTGAGGAGCAAGGAGCGGTTGCAAACTGCTGACTGTGTAACCAGGAGGCCTCCAAGGCTCCTAGTGTCTGCAACAGTCCAGCAAAGGTGCCGGGGCTTCAGAACACCCAAACACCAGAAAGAATGGCATCGAAGCACCCGTGGTTCTCGACCTGGGAAGTTAGTTTTACACAAGGTGGGTTAACGGGCCAGCGTGCAGAGATGCTGCGGAAGGTCTCTCTGTCTGTCTCACACTGTGGCAGTTACATCATCTCCTGTCAATATGAGCAAAGGGGTGGAGTCTAGCCTGTCAATCAGGTCATAGCCAGTGAGGCCTCTGTGTGGGCGTGGCCCTCTCCTGAGGATTCTGGGAACTCCAGCCTTCCTCCCTAGAAGTGGGACACACAGTCTCTCTGCTTCCTTCTTCCTGCTGATAAAACTCACGGAGCCACCCCGTGTTCCCCAGACTCTGCGTCTTTTAGTCAGCAGTCTGGCTGACCCCAGCCAGAGCCCTGGAGCTGAAGGAGCCACGTGGAGACCCACGCCAGCGTTGAGATGCTTCCACTACCACTGGATCCACAAGACTTCCCACCCACTGGCCTGCGATCTTCCTGCATTCGGCATCATTGCATGTGTTGTGTGAGTCTGAAGAGGAATTTATAGAGTGGTATTGGACAGATGGGTAATATCGGACTTATGGATTTGATCTGGACTGGGCTGGGATGCTTTCTTAATAAACGATTACGCTTTGATATGTAAAGCTCTCTTATACACATGAGTGTATCTGGATTCGTTTCTCTAGTCTACCCAGACTAACACACCCTCTCTCTCCTTCGCTCTGGCTAAAACAACGAGAGGAATTACTCTCCTTATGACATAAAAGGCTTGTTGAATGCAGGAACTGCACATGGGGTCTTCCCCAGGGGCCCCGACGCCCATGCAGACGGAGGTGTCTGTTGTCTGTCTCCAATAGGAGATGCTTTCTGACCTGACACTGGATCAGGAAGGACCTGGAGCATATCTGTAAGCGGTCACTGGTTTACATCTTGGGCTTGTGAAGAGTGAGATGGAAAGGGGGTGTCCGCTGACACAAACGCGGCTACCTAGGGCACAGGCGAACGGTGAGTATACAGACTCGGTGTGCATCAGAAACCATGCCTGGGTCTGGGCACTGGCCTCCCCTCCCCTCCCGGGTGTCCCTTTAAGGTCCACCTCCCGTGGCCAGGCCCTGGGGGTCTCACCTTGTTCTTGCTGCTTTCACAGGACTGCAAGCTGGCCAGGATCTGGCTCTCGATGGCTTGGACCCATGCGTCCCTCTCTTCATATGTGGTGGCTTCAAAATGCCATGTCTGGCCGGTGAGGGACACGATGATAAACTCAAAGTTCTCTTCTTGCTCTGAAACACAGAGGCGAGAAAAGAGCTCAGCTTGAAGGAGATGGCAGTCTGCTACGAATGCTCAGGGGGGAGGGTCGAGCCTGGGCAGCCTCGTTGGCAGGGGAGGTGTCGTCAGTGCTTGGTGTTGATGGGAAACAATGATGGCTGACCACTGACGTCTGAAACCAACCTGCTTGCTGGCCATGGGGCTGAGGGCTGATCCTGACCAGATGCTGCGCTGCTCCCACCCACCCGCCACTGCGGTGCAGGGTAAAGGACGTGCTCCTTGGGGCCTCGGGGTGGGCTTTTCAGAAGCAGAGTACCAGGCCTTTCTTCTGAGGCACCTCTGGGTGGACTCGAACTGCTGACCTTAAGTCAGCAGCTGCGCATGTTCGCCATTTGATTCACCCAGAAGGCTTCTTACTATTTGATTCACCCAGAAGGCTTCTTACTAAAGTCAAGCCACTGATGATCAGAGACCAGGCTATGTCACCAGTGCATCAAACTGTCACCAGTGCATCAATCTATGCTGCTGGAACATCACGGTACATTTGGGCAATCCTGGTGCAAAGCACACTGGGAATATCAGGATACACCTGGACAAGTAGGGGGCACCTGTACAATCGGAGTATATCCAGTCACAGTATGCCTGGAAAAGTCAGGGCACACCTGGACAACCGCAGGACACCAGGATGATCAGGTGACAACTGGACAATCAATCACGGTCCAGTTCTGTGTCCCATTTTGGTCATTCTGTCCTTCATGGACTACAGACACACCCCAAAACCCAACACACAGCCATTGAGTTGACTCCAGGACAGAGCAGAACTGCTCCTGGGGGTTTCGGAGATTATCGACCTTTACGGGAGCAGACAGCCTCATCTTTCTCCTAAGGAGGGGCTGGTGTGTTGGAAGTGCCAACCTTGTGATCCGCAGCTCGCAGCACGCCCCCAAGCCAAACCAGACTCACTGCCGTTGAGCTGATTTTGATGCACAGCAACCATACTCAGAGTTTCTGAGGCCATAAATCTTAATGGGAGCAGACAGCCTCATCTTTCTCCTGGGGAGGAGCTGGTGGGTTTGAACCACTGACCTTGAGGTTAGCTGTGCTTGAAGCAAGCGTGCCTCATTCAACTTACACAAGTGTGCTCTCATACCTCTCCCAGGGGTGTGGCAGGAGCCCTGATGGTTCAGTGAGCAAGGACCTGTTTGCTAATGGGAAGGACGGGGGATTCGAACTCACTGCCCACCCCTCAGGAGCATGATGGCGAAGTCTGCTTCGTGCACAATGAAGCTGAACTCAACCCACTGTTGTTGAATCAAGTCTGGCTGCAAAGAGTGGCTGGTGAGTAGCCCAGTGCTGGAGGCACGTTGGCGCCAGCACTCCTTTTGGTAAAGACAGCAGCCTTGGAAATGGGGCAGCGCTCCTCGGTCCTGTAGGGCTGCTGAGGATGGCGTAGTGCGTTCAACATCAGGCTGTTCGTTGCAAGGTCAGCAGTT